GCTACCGCTTGAGCCACATCCCCAGCCCCTAATATTTCTTATTATAACTAATTTATCTAGCTATCAGTTCAAAAGAGGATCATTATAACAATTTTGTCATTTGTGTTATTATCTCTGACAACATATTTAAACATGTTCTTTTTATGAATTTTAAAATAATCCCCACTGACTACTTTTAAAAATCATGTCATATCTGGTAACTACAATCATTTATAATTTCTAGTGAATCATTTTAGAACTACTTCATCTTGTAACATGTAGAAATTCGCAAGTTTTATGAATAAAATAAGCAAGTTTTCATTATTCTTAAAAATCAGAGTTTTAGGGCTTGGCACAGAGGTGTAGTGACTTGGGAGATTGAAGCAGGAGTATCACAGGTTCAAAGCCAGTTTCAGCAACTTATCGAGGCCCTAAGCAAAAAAAATTATCAAAGGACTGAGGATGTGGCTCAGTGGAGAATCGCCCTTGGTTTCAATTTTTAGTTTCAAAAAAACAAAAAAAAAAAAAAGAAAAAAATCAGTTTTAAAGATTTGGAATTGAAATTTACCATAATTATCAATTAGGGGGGATTTTTTTCTTATGTAAAAATATGAATTTTCAATTATTGATGTTACAGAGCTGTAGCATAAAAAATATCATGCTCAAATATATCACGCTTCAGGAGAAAGTTTTCTAATATCAACTCTTACTTTTCTTCATCTCTTACCTGAAAAGAAAACAAAGTATTCTCTGCATTGAAAAATGCAGAGCACATAAAAATGCAATATTACATAAGTCTGTCTAAACCCAAAGTCAGCTATTTATGTTGCTTGGTAAAAGCAAATGAAAACAGTAACATACCTAGCCAGAGGAGAACGAAATGCTGTAGCTGCTGTGGGAAAATCCATGGTCCTTGTCTCAAGAACTGGTTTTCCTGGTATAAACTTTAAGCTGTTGGGGTTTGGGGTATCTTGGGTTTGAATAAACATGTATCTTACTGAAAAAGAAAAAGAAGAAAGGAACATTATTCTAGAAAAAGTAGTAGTTACAAGTTAAGTGCTCATTTTCAGAGAAGCAGAAGAAAAACTGGAAAAATAAAAACCTACAAAGCTTTATTTCCCAGCTGAAAAAATAAGAATCTATAAATACAAGAAGTGCAAGATAAAATAATTACATAGAACTTTATATTAATACTTTGATTATTTAAATAGTTATGTTATTCTCCAGATTCCAAGAATATCCTATACTTAAATAGAAAGCCATAACATAATTCAGGAGTCATAATCTATTTTGTGATTTGGTATCAATAGCTATCATAGTCCTAATAACAGGTTATTTATTTTTAAAATTTTTGCAGTTCTGCAGATTGATCCCAGGACCTCATGCTAGGCAAGCACTCTACTTCGGAGCTATACTCCCAGTTCCCCAGATCACAGGTTATAATAACGATAATATTTTTTAAAAATATTTATTTTTTAGATGTAGATGGACACAAAACAATGCCTTTCTTTTCTTTCTTTCTTTTTTTTTTTTTTTAATGTAGTGCTGAGGATCAAACCCGGGTCCCGCCCATGCTAGGGGAGCGTTCTACTGCTGAGCCACAA